GGGTGAACACCAAGAGCCACCTAAGACGGCTTATAAGGGAACAAGAACGGAACGGCTCACATACCACACGAGTAGGTCTGTCGCCTCAGGTAGACAGGTATGGCGTAGTTTACATACTGGGAGCCTTGTGTAACGGGTGCTTGAAGACAACAGGCGTACAGGGAGCCAGGACACTTTGAAGTTAGGTCCACATCGTATCAAACTACCCAAATGACAGGAATGTCGTTCTATAGAATTTAAGGGTTACGTGACATGTCGGCAGAAACCAATTTCTGTTGACTACGAAAGTATGCTAAGAGGTAACGCTTCTTACACTATAGTTAAGACACCACAATTGTGATTCTACTGCATGCCTTGAAGTTCGTATAATGTTATGCAGAATTTTGATGATTCTAATGCCAACAGAGCTACTTCAAAAGCATTCAACCGTTATAAGTATAGTGGTGTAAAATTAAAAACACTTCAATGTACTCAATGGACGGGTATTACACATTGCCATGGAGGAATGAGGTAACGCATCAACGGGGGACTGTTTGGGAAGCGCAGTTTGTTTCTAGGTAAGGTTGATAAACAAAAGGGATAAACATCTTAAAATGGGAAGAAACGGTAAACACTAGCGGCGACTGGAACAATTCAGGGCGTTGTCCATAAACCTTAAGGATGATATGGGATGGTCAGTGTAGACGTTTTTGTTAATTTTTTTCAAAACTCTTAGTTTTTGTAACACGAGTAACCTTGGCGATAACTCGACAACTGGGATGTTTCGCCATTAGGTCCAACGGACAGTAACCATCCAATGAAAACCCGCGTGACATCTCTACTTGTACGGGACGTGGTAACGTACGTTGAATTGGACTGATAGCTAGCTAGAGAGGTCACATGCAGGCAACCCCGACTTCTGTTGCGTACTCATATCACGTCGCCTCTTAATAACGGCACTGGTTTACACCAGGCTTACATTGTACAACTTCTGCCCTGCGTGCTTTTTCACCTGTCCTTTAAAACAGGTGCGTGTTTAGTGTAAACACACCTTTGACAAAAACGTGACACAAGAGGGACCTCTCTCCCGTATGGTACATGGCTCCCGTCATGCACCCTGAGTAGATAAGGGTGGACACAATGCAATGGCCGAAATGGCGCACTGTTTAGTACACAGACCCGGGAACTCGGTAAATAGTGAGATGAAAAATGGTTTCTATGGCCAGGCGACTAGATGTCTTCCCACACCCAGACAGTAAAGCTGTTTTGTCTTTGGGGTGATTTTTCTCTCTTTTTTGTTGCAGGAATTTGTTTCTTTTTTGTTTTATGGTAGTGAAAATAAATATGACTGGGAATGAAGGTCAAAAGGTCCCACACGTTGCCTCACGCCCCCCTCCCCATATTGCATGTCGTCCCAAGTGAACCAGCTGAAGTGGACGACAGATTTGCACATACCGACGCAGGCACGGGCCGTTATCGTTGACAGCCTCGTTGGCACGGATATGTTAATCACCGTAAAGTCACTCATTGTTCAACTCACACACAGCTGCTAACCTGTTTCAGCGAGATCTCACAGATAGGTAGGACTTTTTTTCCCGAATGATTGACGCTGACACACGAGAAGGAAACGGAAATTACCGATAATCACCGAGCGTGTCCGAAGAGAGGACAATTAGGTCAAGAGGGGCAAGGATGTACGGATGGTTTTCATCTTGACCCTGAACTCCATGTGAGGCCCCCAGAGCCTGACAAACAAAGATGGGGCTTGTTGAAGACGTTACGTGGATCCTGAGAGGGCAGAGGTCAAGTTGAGTTTGTTGGGGGAATTTCTCCCAGTGTACAGATCATTTTCAGACGAGTTGTTCTCAGGACTTCAAGGCATGTCCTTCAGAACATTTTACATACCTTTGAATACAGAAAGAAAGACCCAAATGTATATCCGATTGTCCAAAAAATGTGAACTAGCTACGTATTATGCCCCCGAGCCTTATTCAAAATCCCTTGTTTTTCAGCAGCTCTGTTTATCACTTCCTATATCAGAGGCACGTAGCACTGAGCACGTCTTAGTTTGGACAAATTGTTCAGAAACCAGAAAAACACTTAAACAATCCACTTTGAAGAATAACGCTTACTCTACGCACCCCTTAAGTCGTGTTGCCTCTGAGATAGTTCCGTAGCCATAGCAACTGAGACCACAGAAAGGGTTCTGGACGTTTCTCATGGAAACTCTGTCTTAAATGGATTAAAGGAACCTTAAAGGAGAAACGAATGAGTGGCGTGCACAAAGAAACAGATAAAGGGCAGAGAGGCGACCAAAGGCTATTGTGTAGGGCTGGGTATTGAAATGGGCATACATAACCTACAAGCAGATGTAGGATCTGAATCAGTCTCGGCGTTTTGTGCCTATTTTTGCACACTTCTTTCCTAGTCTTCTCTACTCTCCGTGAAATACAATAATTCGTGTTAAACTTTGAGACGGAGCCAGATAGATAGTGCTACATCTTCTTGGCGATTATACGTATGATACATTTTGGTACCCTAAGGTATGCATAACTGTTGATCACTATTATTCCTTGGAATATCGCTGATGTATCCAAAATATAGTAATCCTCCCTCTTTAACATAAAACAACACATGCTAGCCTTAACAGCAATGTGAGTTTTTTTGATACCACAACAAGACTTTAAACGCGGAAAGGCTAGGGTTGCTATGGGGCCTTAGGGGAGCACATATCTCGAATAATTTCACCAGGTAAAAGTCGGCGAAGCATATAGGGACTCCACAGATTGAATAGCGTGTCCTACTTTCCCCCCAGACGCTTACATCAAACGATGTCGCGACATGTGAGCTTTGGACAACAGGAGTAGGTCAATGCACAGACTTTGGCCAGTCTTTACGTGAATGTGAATAACAACTCGTCTTAATGTATGAGGACTATGTAGACACTTCTTTCTTTTGGATTTGAGCTTAGGTCTGTAATATTCCATTTTGCTCGTTTTGTTAAAACTATCGTCCGAGTGCAAAAACCTAACGTCTTCTGAATTGTTTTCTTGCAGTCAACTTTTTGTGCAGTACAGCTAAAGCCATAAGGTGTAGTTATGTCACTTAAAATTCTTACAAGTACACTACAGTATCCTTAAAGCTTCTGGTGTGTGAGCTATTGCGACTATTGATCTATGTACAATATGTGAAGGTAAAAAGTATTTGAAACAAAAATTTGATGCCACGCTCTCTGGTGTATAGTTTATCTATACATTGGATCTACATATATTAGGTGCCTTTCCGTCTGAAGCTATTGACTTGGCTCCCTTTACTGACAAGGCTTGACCTTACGCAAGGGGTGCTTAACTCTTAACCGCGTTACCATAGCAACTATTGTTTAACACATTCCACCATCTCTCTGCATAAAAGCCCCATCTGTACTAATTTGACACGTGATCTTGAAGTGTTTTTAGTTCTGCAAGCACTCTTCCATTATAACACCCCCCTCCCCCTTCCCGCCCAATCCTCGGGGGTTTGGTAGTGTTTACCGACAGAAACTCCAAGGCTTTCATATATTCTCAACTGCCCGGGAAACGCTGTAACCCATAAACTATGGAGCCTGCTATACAAACATATACCAGAATAACAAAGGCTGCAAGAAACATGGTGATTTTTTCCCTAGCTTCATTGTAGAGCGACATCTGCAGTGTTTGTCGGAGAGCACTTTTATCAGAAGGGGCGGTGGGGGCGGTACTATAGCCATACATTACACGGAATCCTTCGCAGCTGTTTTCTTCTAATACGACGTCAATATTTACCTCTTTGTTTCTGTGTGCTTTTCTACTTGACTTCTTGCTTCAACCCCTCGTTAAAAAGCTTCAGATATTTTCTTACATAACTGGTAGTTGTTTTCTCTCCTTTCCCCCACCCTGCCTTTGAAACAGAACTCGTGTTTTGCACCATTGTGCTTTTTTAATACCGTGGTTTATTGTTCGGTTGACCCTTGGAACCTTTGTCAATGAAAGGCGGGAAAATAGACTGAAAGGTCTGTGGTACAGTAACGAGCAAGCTTGTGTTTTCTAACCAAACTTTATTGCGCTTTTTTTTTCTGATGCCATTCGAATTCCCTAGGTGGAATTGTAGAAGACAAAACCAGCATTTTGTGGCGTTGAAAAATCCATACATGCAGTCCGTGTTTACAATGCATAAAGCTTATGTAGCCAACAGAAACAACATGTCTTTCGTTGGTAAGGAGTGGGTTGTTTGCGTAGCTATAGGCTAGTGTTCGCCAGAGGTTGAGAAAACTCTGTAAATTGGCTCTTCTCCCAGTAGTGAGATATGTAAATGACCCTGTGGCCCCTACAGAGTCTTTGAGAAAGTCCACGTGTACGTTGGGACGAATTGTAGAAAGTGTCGTCTGATTTTGGTCAGAGTTGGAAAGCGCCGTCTGATTTTAGAGTTGACGTACGACTATTTTAGGGGTTAGAGGGATATACGAGTTTGTGCTATACAGTTGAGAGGATATGTATGTGGTTTCTCGGTGTGGTACATGTACATGTGCATGCTCTTTAGACCTGACATCACTGGAATACGAGCCGTCTTTTAAAGTGGGGCGAACAAAACCTCGAAATAGAAAACGACCCTCTTCAGAGCACTCTGTTACGTGATATTTTGTCCCAGCATTGAGATGAAATAGAAAAGGGAGAGAAAAGGTCCTTAGACTGAGATATGGATCTGGTACCACTCATATGGCATGGACTCGCCCACCTGTGGGGCTACCCAAGCGGCTAAACTCTTTTGTCCACAACCCGGCCCAGTCATTAGATCGGATTAGACCACATAACACAATTAATAGGGGTAATGAACAACTTGATGATGTGACCTGATTAGCAAGCTAATAACCGAGGCTGTAGCCAGGCTTTTTCATCTAGCCAACTCCTCTTTGTTTGCGCGAACGCCCAGGTAATTTTCCACACCATAAACCCCAACACTTTTAGTAATCTTTTTTATGGTAGGTAAATGAGGGAGGGGGTACTTACGGATACATATCCAGTTATAGTCTCGGCAGCAGTCTTGCTGAGAGGTACAGGCTTCGTCGCAGTAGCAGGGGCCGTAGCGATTGTCTGTCCTGAGGCCGTAGTTGTGACAGAAAGCGTCCCGTCCCGTGCAACACTGGGGCTCGGGGCGGTCGCGACAGTCTCCGTGCACGTACCGTACACCGCACAAACACACCCACAGTACAACAACAACAGCAACAACGACGCCGCGAAACATTTCCATCTCTCTTCCGGGTCGGCTCCTCACACACACCCTACACTCTTCACGAGCTCACATACACGGCGCGCTCACACGGCTCGCTCACGGTATCTCTTCCTGTCCCTCTCTCGCAGTCTCTCTCTCCCTCTCGTTGCTTCACGAGGCTTTCATCCCGGCCCGCCGGCTCCGTCTGTTGTTTGCCCGCCCAATCGAACAACTATTTGCAATCCATCGGTGCGAGCTGACAACGAAGACAATACGATACCAGACCGGGGACAGTCCTCTCTCTCTCTCAGCAACCTGTGAACCAGGGATGTTTCACCGGCGAGCTCCAACAGTCCAGGCGGTGTCCAAATTCCGCTCGACCTACAAATCCGCTAAGACGTGCTGTACTACTGTGTGTACCGCTGGCACATCTGTCTCGGCGAATTTCACCGCCACCCCTCAAACAATTCTGACCCGGGGACAACCCTACAGAGAGCGCGCCCGCCTTTCTGCTATGCTCCTCGCCTCTCGCAGCGCGCGCGATCCCGCCTGTTTACACACACAAAGTACGGCGCCCGCAACCAATGGGGGCGGGAGCAACCCCTGACCAATAGGGGGCGGGGAAACGTCATCAGGTAACGACCGTAAAATAAAACACCTTATCCGTAAATCACTGGTCTCTATGGTGATGGGAGCATTCAATGGGGCAAAAGGTTTAGGCTGAAAAATCTACAACAAAATACACAGAAACAATCGCGTATTACCAAACTGTGATGATTTTGATACCATAATGCACAAGCTCACACAGTGTATAACCACCTGCTATATATAAATCAGCGTATTCTACTTCACAACATTCATTAAATGACATACGCGGCATACCCTTTATGAACTAAGGTAACCATAGCATTTTTGCCCGAGGCTATATAAAGGACTCTTCAGCAGTGATGTGAGATGACCGTACTGTCAAGGGGATGAGAAATAAAATCATGGAGGGCAAAAAATACGTGACGAAGAAAGAGATTCACAAACCAACCTACCGGCCCAACCGTACTCTCTGATAACTGCTCAAGAATGATGAGTGGTGATTCCGGGATTTAGGTTACAATTCAAACACAGGTACATGGCAGTAGTGTAGAAGATTGAGTATATTAACCTTGCGTGTTTACATTTCTAAGAGTTCCAACGTGGGAGTAGTTTTAAACCAGGTCGGCCCGCGCATACCGCCAAAAACTCCCACTTCTCTGCAATGTAATAAGCTTTAATCTCCAAGCAGATGTAAGATACGGCTCAGTTGCAGTGTTTTACTAGTTTTCTGGCTTTCAGTACGTCTTTTTAGTGGATATTTGTATTACAACGAATATGTAGAGAGAGAGAGAGATATTGAGAAAGATAAATAAAAGCCTTGAAAACACGCATTTTTCGTCATTATTTCATGAAATAGAATAATTTACAGACATTTGATTTTGCCACCTCCATTTTTCATGCTCAGTACCAAGGGCAAAATAAAATGAATATTTTTCCCAGAGTTGTTATGACTTCGGCGTATTTTGATATGTCAAAGATCAGAAGATGTTTTTGATAAAGCAATTTCTGTTGAAAGACACGTTTACGTACCATTTTTAAATATTTGGACTGTTATATCATACTTCAAGTTATATTCCACTGCGTAAACAAAGCAGTGTAAACTCAGAGAGAGAGAGATAGCACACCTGTTGGAAGAAAAATCTCCTTATACGCACCTTGTCATATACACACAACGAGAAATATGGCCATATTTTAATTTTTTTTTATTCTTGCTGCCTAGGTATGGTCGTTTACACCATTAACTGTTATACTTCTTTGGCATCATACAAAACAGAAACCAAACCTGATACAAACTTGTGTGCTTTGGAAAGATGTACCCGTATTGAGACCCGCACCATCTGGTGGTATCAGACAACGGGTTCTGGAGTAAGCCTTTGAGCAATGTGTGCCGAAAGGTTTTTCTCATAATATATGTGACGTGCCAATATTTGACAGAAGGCGGCGCGACAGGGCGACCACATGCCCCGGGTCCCAGGAGACACCTTGCACCTGTGTCTCGGCACAGTTTCGGCGTGTGTGTCTCTCGTCTGATTCCATAATAACTGTGTCGCGTGGATTTCCCTTGGGAGAGGCTCTGGGAGCGGCTATGCCAATTAGTCTGTCCGTGTCCTACATAAAATATAATAAAAGCTAAAAAAAATTGTGGAAGACATACATGTGATACAACCGATATGTCTATCTTTGAAACTGGTGTATATGTGTTACGCCGAAGGGCGGTTATACCGGCTTTACGATACAGATACTGATATTGCGCCCTTATTGGCATTGGCGAGTGCACTACCATGTGAATTGTTTGTGAATTGCTTTGTTACTTCAAACAAACTTGTGTCAGACAAGAAGCTATGAATATGTATTGTACATCAAAATGCCCTCTAAGCTGTTTGCAAATCCGTGATGCGAGCGTTATTTCCGTCGACTAGGGTGGTAGGTTAGAATCCGATCATTCGGGGTTGACAAAACTAGTACATGTGTATCAAGAAAGCCTAAACATGTAAGTCTATGTTTTGATAATACAAACGGGATAATATAGTGCTAACTTTAGTTTTAAGCCTGGTAACCAGTCTTCTATAGCTGCGATCACGCTCTTGCCATCTCTATTCGGAACGAAACCGTAGAGGGCTGGATACCAGTCTAACCGAGTGCTCAGTTATTCCATCCCTACTATAGAGTTGAGATAGAAGCTTGGGAAGAGGAAAGTATCAGACACCAGTTCAATAGGCGTTGGTCACAGACACATTTATAATGGACTGCTTGTCATAAAAACAGTCAAAGTGGTACCGGGGGATAAAACGATTATGTGGTTGTGGCCACAAACACTCCACAAACCTGAGCGTCCTATAAACGTACTCAGCCTATCCCGTCACCAAAAGGGACCGCTTGTGTTGCCGCTACTTTACCTCCATCTCCGCTGCTGATTTTATTACGTTAAACCCCTGAGAGAGTATAGTGTACACACACACTCTCAATCAGGTCTGTTTGTGTGTACCCAACATGGCGACAGGGAAACCTCTTTACGTGATATAAAAGGGCGAGAGGTAAACTGTATAATGTAGGGCAGTGGCGGGGACCATACCGGGACCCATGGTGTGATTTATTCCCGGTGTCTTGTTCGATCGTTAAACGGTTCAGTCCATTTGATCAGCAAGGCCATCCATCCCGTGTCGTCTGTTTTGTATAACCACATTCACAAGGAGGCCAAGACCCCCTAGGTGCGCCCACCCCCCTCCCGCGCACTCTCCTTTCAATTTACCGTGACAGTCCCCTCTGCCCAATTGACCCCCCCTCCCTCCTCTCCACCAATAGACTGACCAACTCTACCTTTTCAAATTTATCATGAGCCCTCCTCCAGTGTCGCTCAGGCAGATCTAATTTTTCATTTCGTGAAATAGCCTGTTTTTGATCACCACTTATCAATTTAGGAATGTCCTATAAAAAGGGAAAAGAACGAAATGGGAAGATAACACTTTTATGTGTGGATGGGGGCGTTTGACTCCGAAAGTATGTAGCTTTACTTTGATTAAAATACGTGCTGTGGGTCGATACTTATAACCTTACGCCGCCCTTTCATCTTCTTTAACAGAAAATCAATATATCGTTTGATTATTTTTTGTAAAAATAGGACACAACTAGAGTTTCCCAATCGTCTACTCAATCATGAATTCGCCGTAATCAAGTCGTTATAACATGTAATAGATCTTCTCTCCCTCAATCAAATATCTCCCGACACTTAATCAAATTACCATGTGATAAAACGTGTATCCAATTGGCGTAAACAATACCACAGACTCAGACAATTTGCAGGACACACAGGACAGTACGTGTTCTGTTTCCCTAACATTTATTTTGTCCTTGTTCGATTTGGCGGACGCAGAAACAGCATTGGCAAGGAAACATTGTAACATAACATAGCAATGTCATTCGCTAAAGCTAGCTATAAGCATTTAAATATCCTTAGTAATTTACAATCTTTAGGTACACACACGCGTGTCTTACATCAAAGAAAACATCTTAATTTTCTTGGTCGTAAACCTAGAACCCGTCCCGCGGTGGTATAGCTGTCTCTCACTGCTCGGGCCGAGCTTCGATTTCAGCAAAGGATTTAATTTAATTCTCTTCGCCGCAGTTCACAGCGAGGCGCTTTCAGTTCAATCTGACCCCATATTTCTGCCGAATATCATTTTTTCCTCCTCTATTACAAACCTTTATGAACAAATATACTGTTAACATCGAAATTTGTTCATTAAAATGAAGTTGTAAGTATGGATAGAACGTATTTTCTATTCGTGTAGACTGCAAAATCCTTGGAATTTCCATGACCTCTGACCTAGTAAAATGCGCCCAACCAGAGGAGGTGTTACGGAAGGTCATGATCAGGGCTAGCGGCTCGACATGACGTCACACATGACTGCCCTCCATCGTGCAAACTGGAAAATTGAATTATCATATTAAGTGTTCTAGCAGATATCCTATCCTCTTATCTGCTTAAGATATCAAGATAGTATTCTAGAAGGGACAGTTGAAGAAAAACCACAGAAGTTGAGGTTTTTCCAAACAACAATGTATTCACTTATTGATATACAATTAACAGTGCCAATTGTAGATCTAAAAGTTAAAAAAGGTGAAGATACATGTGTTCAGAAATTACCATATTTGCCATTACCCAGTCAGCCTTTAATTTTGTGATACGGACTGTAACTCTAGGTTTACCGAATCGATCGCCAAGTTTGTCATTTCTTATTTCGGACCACTTAAGACTGATCTCCGTGCACACACCTGGCTTAAGTCGGTCTCAGTGTGTTGACAGGACTTCTTCTGGACTACGGGCGGACGGAAAGGGTTTAGGAAACTGTGGTTACGGTGTTGAGGCTGAGATTTAATTGGTGGGATGCATAAAGCGACCATGCAGCTATCAATAAGAAGACAGGCTATGGGAACGGGGGGTTGAACATATATGAAGAAGTTTATTGCACGACAATTGTGCAAGGTATGGCAGTAGTAGGCATTTCATCGTATGGCAACGAATACTGAACAAATTACAAAACGAAAAGGGTATAGAATTTTACCGTCAAAAAAACTAAACGAGCTCGAGATAATACAAGTAGGGCTAATTATCAGTTTATATATCCTTTGTCGTGAAAGTTTGCGAAAAATGGTCCGAGTAAGCTATAACAACGACTTAGGGACTGTGTGTCTCGAACGTTAAAAATGAGGAGACTGTACGTTTTCACTGTAAAGTGACAAGTGACCAGGCGGTCCTTATGCAGTGATGGGTCTACAGTTGGGAAGTAACACTAGCTGACATTCCCCCGTTGTAAAACTACGCCCCAAACCTCGTCCCTAATTAATTGCAAGTCTGTACAGCATTACCAACAACCACATCTCGCCACGCCCTCCCCATTTTTAAAACCACGGCGGTCTGTGGTCAGTATCCTGTACCATACCTCCCGATAAGGTTTTGTGTGGTCTCCCCCCGTAAGCCTGTCTTGTATGGACGGTTTCTTCATCAATCGTCCACGCCAATCCCTGCCCTAATCTCTTCATCCCCCGGGATTAGCTGCTCAAGACAAAGCTGTTCTAATCTTACAGCGGCTGTGTGTTGAGCGATCTACAGAGGATAATCAAATCTAGCACCTCTAGCTGAACAATATTGTTGGAGGGCTCGAACAAGAAAGTATATTGATAATCATTGATTTGATCATTGTTTTGATTTGTTTTTTTCGTGTCTTACATACACTTCAGGAGTGAAGTGCCTTAATTTACCCATGGCAAAGGATTCGAACCGAGACCCTCGAGATTGTGGGTTAACTACGATAACCACGATATCGTTTTCTGACATGTACCTAGTGCATTTCACATTTGTATTGTGCGCGAATAACACGAGCTACATTGTTTTATCGATGCATATACATGTATATGTTTTCTAGCATGTCTATACGAATCGGACTGCCCATATATGACACTCCTAGTATTTGATATGGATTATCCAGCAAATCCAGACGACGAGCAAATTGGTAGAGGGTGGGTAGCTATATTTAAATCCATAGAGGCACGGCACCAATTAATCCGACATTTTCTGGTTGAGAAGTTAACGCTTCCGAGCGAGTCATCCGTGTCAAAACGGTACAAGGCGTGAGGAGGGGGACAGGCAGTGAGTAGAATAGCAGCAAATACAACGTGTGTAAGCACCCCCTGCGAGATAACCTGGTAGAGGGATAATTCAAATAATCAAGTGGATCTTTGTCTGAATAAGGAAAATATTATTGACAATATCATAACCAGTAATGGTCCTAACAGGGAACCTTGTGGGACACTTGAGCCAATCTCGGACCAAGGTTTTCGTCTATTTTTGGTCAAAATATCTTCAGCGATGTAGTCTCATATATACATGTATGTAGTAATGTCGGCATCAAAACGCAACGTAAGTGCCCGGGTGTGTATGTACATTTCGCTGCGCTGATGATACAAATAATTACGATATTTGACCACCAAGCGTCTCGCGGTTTACTAGATGGACAATCTCAATAATGACACAAATACGTCGAGGGCCCATGATTTAGCTGCATGTGCTTACACTTGTTTACATGTATTTCAGTTTTGAAGTAAACAAGAGCACCATTTCGGAGCTGGTCCGACGCCTAAAACTGCGGTTCTGTTTGGTAAACCTGTCCTGAGGACCACGCCGTGTCACATGCGAACATCTCCACTCTAAATATTTGGATTTAAAGCGCCTTTCTATCTTGTATCATGTGGCCGTAACAAACGATAAAGTGAGATTGTTCGCTTCCTTGTCTGGATTATTTCTCAAAGAAATTGTTGTATATATCGTTTCATTTCGCTAGCTATAGTTTTCATTTAGTGTGCCCAAAAATCATCCATATTTTGGACAAAAAGTAGAGTAAAACATACGTAGATCATTTAATCATACATTATGGCTTCATTGAAGAACTGGAAATGCACGTATACCTATATGCATACATGGAACCATAGCTCATTGTGCTTTTACTTGGAAGTACCCCCCCAACCCCCAAATACGAGAATTTGGGGATGGTTTCTGTCAGTATTTCTCAGACAGCTGTCAGTGGTCACTGTCACCACAAAACTAGTTCAATCTTGTATCCTTCCGCCATGTAAACAGGATCTTTAATATTCTTACAATTCTTAAAATAAAATAGTCCTGAGACATCTGCACATATGAACAGCCTTTCACATGATGCGGGGGTGGAATCTGTAGTGATGCATACGTCTACATATTTTTACTACCTTGTTGATGAAGCAATGTGATACGAGTGAAGGAGGTCAACCACAGGAAGTGTAGACAGTTAGGACGGCCGTAGTTGACAAGCTATTTGGGCTATGGGCACGTGCGGGGTATGCCGAGTAGGAGCCGGTCTTCCCCGGCCGGCCACCACGGGGCAACCCTGGCGCTGACCTCAGCATACCAGGTCAGGTTTGGAGTGTTGCTGGGTTACATTGTCGCCAAGTGGTCGTGCTGAGGCCCAGTGTTTGCCCCAAAAAATATGATTAATTCCGACCGTCTATGGTAAGGCAGTCTCCAAGTTGAAGTAGGGTTTAGATCAGCGTTTTTAAAGCTTTTATACTGGCCATGGGAGGTCCCTCTTAAAAGCCTATAGCTATATAAAGCCTATAAATATACGCGTGTAAAACACTAACCCGGACCATACATCTGCTTGAAGGATATGGTTAGGCCCATATAGACGAAACAACTTTATACTTGGGGATAAGTCAAAGAATCATCCATTTACGAATAGACGTACCAGTATTCAACTAAGTTGCAGTACTACCTTTCATCACCAGAGAGCGCTCATCATAGCATCAGAACGTGTTATTGCCAACATTGGACAAGCATCACTGATTCTGAAGACTGCTTACTCCTCTTAATCCTTGGCTACTATTTCCGATATCATATCACTGGGATCCAAAATCATTTTTTTAATATCTTTGTGGCATTTTCTACATATAACGTTACATGTTTCTAGTCTTCCACTCAGGAAAAAATCATGAACTGCCACAAAGACATACAAAATGCTGCAAGAACATGCATGTCTGAAATACCAAGTCAGACACTACATGTACATCAGCTTGGAGATCACTAGTCATAGTACTGCTGTACTGCTGATGCCCTAGCTGTCTTGACCTTTGACTCTCCTGTAGATCTTTTCTTCCTTGTTTTCAGTCATTGCAGCAAAACGTGCCAGGGTGAAAAGAAAATCACTCAGTCTGCAAAAAAAAAAAAAGGAAACTTTGTCTGATTTTGACAACTTTTCTCATGCTCACTGTTCTTAACCCAAAAAGTGTCTGGTAATGTCCTTGTTGAATAATTCAAGATACATGTAGAACCAATTATTGTTCCAGTATTCATCTAAGACATGGAATAACACAAGTAAAAGTCACATTGTATATTCCTAGAGGAACACTATACATGTACAAAGTGGAGCCATGCCAAATATGATAGAAATCTCTTTGGTACAAAATAATTCCCCTCTTGCAAATTTTCCCCCATCTCCATACCCTCCTACAATCCTTCATGGACCGTCCTTTACTACTCATGCCTCACCTGTTGACATATTTCCCTACTTCAGCATCTACATCACCTGAGCTGACCAGTGGAACTAATCTGGAACAGGACAGTACACAAAATAAACAAAATCAGTCCTGCTGTAATCTCCTATTACAGTATAAAGCAGGAAAAGATTTACAGGCAGCTAGTTAGCCTTATTCTCAAACATACTGTTAGGCCATAAAATTAAAAGGAAAACAACATATGCTTAAATTGACAGGAATCATAAATCATGATGCTTCAGGGTGGAAGTTTGCATAGAGTTGTCCCCGTTTTTACTTCAATTTTTTTCAACTGCTCTAGTAATTCACTTTTATCCCAAGTTTCTTTAAACTAAAAAAAGTTCCAAACTGACCTTCTCTCAGTTCTTCTACAGATAGCTCGAGCCATGTGGAGTGAAGCACTGGTTTTCCCTCCAGACTGCGGGAGGGAAAATACCATGTTACATGCAGTAAATAGTAGAAACAGAGAGACACTGAGGGACAGCATTAGAGACAGGGAAATAGAGACAGAAATGGAGACAGAAGATGTTGGTTAGTTTGATTACCAAATTGTCCAATGCCTGACAATAGGTATGCACATTTTGCATGGTATGAAATATAAAGTGACCATCTTACAGGCAGTATAAAGTTGGTGAGTGGAGGCAGTTGTTCTGTGTACTCATCAATCCATCCTTCCAGCTCCTCTACTGACCCAGATGGGAACTCTGTACGAGCTGGAAAAAAAACAAGAGAGCATTATGAAGTGTACCCTAACTTGCCACAACCCTAATTTATGGTTACTCTTACCATGACCCTAATTTAGGGTTACTGGGTTCATGGAGGTACCGCCATGCTGGGTTAGGTTGCAAGGAACAGACTACACACAGCTGATCTGCTGCAATTTCAATAAAAACTGCTAGAGGGCACTTTTGTATTTTGTGAATGTATGAGCAGATGTTGTTTCTCTCACCTAGTTTTCTGTCCTGTGCCTTCGTCCGTGGTGTAGCAATGTTGGACCCCACATCTTGTAGTAAACATTGGATCTGTCAACATCAGATGACAGTACAGTTCAGTTTTTTTTTACTAGGACAGAAATATGCAAAATAAATTACAGAAAGATTTTTGGAGATTGATTTGGAACAACTGTTGATTACCTTTTCTAGTCTGTCCATGAACTGGTGACCAGCATCATTGCCAAATTCTCCAGCTAACCTGTTGGAAAGGAAGGAGGGGGGAAGAAGGGGGATGAATTATTTCCATAAAAAATAGTGTTATGAAAATTTGCCTCATGCTCAGTGTTATGAAAATTTGCCTCAGTCATATTGGCATAGCTAGATACCTGTGGTTTCCCAGTGGACCAATGGATGCATATATCTGTTTTACCCATCCAAGTGTTTAAAAAAAATAATTGCTTTACAGACAAATCAAGGCAGTTGGCGGACTTCACCCCCTCATGCAAAGTTCACAACATACTTACCCTATTGCACAGGACAGTTCATCTGTTGTCCCAAGTGCTTCAAAAATGGCGTCGTCTTTATTCCGTCTTTCTCCAGTAAATAAACTGGACCTTCCTAAGTGAAAAAAAACACACATCATCAACCAATGCAAAGCACGATTTTACTCATTAACCACATCAAAAGTCCAGAATGTTAATCAAAGCCATAGATCTTTATGATACAACATCAGTAACATTATATGATCAATCTCAATAATCAAGATATCATAACGTTAAATTTTGTTTGTTTTCAGCACCAGATAAGTTACCTTTGTCACCAGTTCTTGTATAGATTTTTAGTTGCTTTGTCTTCTCACGTTCCTTGCTGAAAAGTAGAAAAGACCCAAGTACTGATAAACTCATGCAAAAAGACTAGATAAACACTAAATTCGGTGACTGACGAAAAGTACTGGATGCTACTTGAAACGTCTGACAGTTTGCAAAAGCTATCCAGATGCTTTAGTAACAGTTTTCTACTGTACTAACATATTACAGACTTATATTTTAGAATTTTTGTCGATCCCAAATATAATTTTACCTCTTTTCCATAGTAGTATAACAAACGGTTCCGCTCTTGAGCTGTTACTAAGAGTATTCCTGCGTTTCTGTCCCAAATTTTGTAGTTTTCCACAGTATGGCTCACCGCAGAAAGACCTTTGTCCCATACAGCTAGACTTGAACTTTGTGCATAACCTAGAGACGTCAATCAAAAATTAAGTGTAACGGTTACGGGTTAGTGCGCTACTACTGGCAGATGAAATGCCCCCCTCCCCACAACCCACAATAAACAAGAGAAATCCGAACCTACCTTGAGTAACACCGCCAGTACACCGGCGATACTGTTTGCTCTATCCTAGCGTACAGTGTTGGTAACCGTGTCAAAACCACCGAGGGCCGGAGGACGTGTTTAAACAACATTTTGCACGATCTCGCTGTGGTAAACTAAGTCTTCGAAAGGTCAAAGGTGATCAGAATCTTTCACTATAAGAAAGGGGGTTTAAGGATAATAAATAAACTTGTCGGAGTCCGCTATAAGAGTTTTAAACTGCAATCAAATAACTGTATTCCTCTATTATATGCTTATTATCTTCTATAATATACAGAAGAAATAAAATTTAGTACAATTGTTTTAAAATGACAGTATTTAATATACCCCCCAGGGTGAGTGGTTTCTACCAGAGTTCATTAATCACCTGTGAATGCAGGCCGGAGGCGGGGCAGGTTTTTGATGTGAAATGAGCCATGTATGGTGTTACCGTCTTATCAACAAGAACTGGATCGTACTAGTTTATACTCTACTTCGTTCTTCTACAGGTAGGTGGGCTCATATAGGTGTTTAGATAGCAGGTTTAGATATTTTAAACACTGCTGTTTGTGTAAGGTGCAGATTTCAACCTTCGATAGCTTCCAGTAGAAGATTTCCTAGGTTGCTTGAATGCACACATAAACAGTTTTATATTTTGTTTAGCCTGACCTGACAGCATTATAGACGTTAGTGTTTCATTTGTGAACTGTGTAACCACTCAGTGAGTCTCTCCCAGTGGCTGCTGCGCTGGATTTTCCTCGGCACTGTAAGCTTCTGTCCCCGGCTGGCAAGCGATTTTTACCTGTCCGAATTGACCGCCCTGTGCCTGAGTAAGAGATAAGGGCCTTCATCAGGGGGCTAAGGGAAAGGTAACTCTTCGGGGGCAGGTTGGTCTAGGTGCCGACGATGACTGGCCTGTCTAGACCCCGGTAACAGTCTGGATTCCAGGCTAGTAGTCAGGCGTTAACGTTGATCGATTTGTATACGTTAGGGCTTCCTAAACCACCAACAGTGGGCGTGATGTGATTCACCAGTACTGTACCTTGATGTTTTACCCATATGGGCCATCTTCCGGTTGTTTGGGTGTCGCAGTAAAATCACAGATCGATACGATGTGTTAATACTTCGGGGAAAACGACCTAACGCCACGTACTGAATGTGAATCAAATCTGCCTTGAAGGTTTGCCAGTTCTGTCCCTTAGGTATCACTGAATGTATCTCGATTACATCTTAGATTTTGTTACAGCGTAAAGGTGTATTGTTACATGATTTATTTGATCTTGATGAGACAAACAAAACAACGTTACAAAATGTGTGACCCAATCTTTTGTAATGGTCCACTGCTTCAATGGCATCATTGCCAAGTGGTCCATTTTCTGCCTGTACGCTCAATTGAATGGAAACACCCAAATGGAAACAACCTGTTGTTGTTATCGTGAATGATGTGGCGTTCCTACAAAATCTGTACCATGAAATTAACGGAAGACACGTTGTGGTGTTTTTGAGTGAGAACCTTGTCGCATACTTCAGCGGTTATACTCATCTATATTTCAGAGCCGTGTTGTCGTCTGCCGTATGATCTACACAAAATTTGCTGAGCAAATCTGATTACAGCAGTGATGTCAGAAAACGTGCCCGACGTCGACAATCACGATGTTCCTGCAGTACCGGACCCAGACGCTAGAGGCGCGGCTGAGAATTCCCAATCAGGTGTAAACAATATGACTGACGTTCCTCTAGATAACGGCGCTATCCGACCTCCTCGATATGAATACCTTGATGAAGAGTGCCATGATAAGGTAATTCCATATCTTTTCTACCTTTGTGACTTTCTTGAGAAAGACAGTGAACATAATGTGCGATCTTTATTAACTTTTATGGATTTAGCCATATTTTAGAAAGTAAATGTGATGCTTCTGATGATCTACCACATATGATCATCAAATCCTTTTTTAAATGTATTGAAATTCTGCTCGCGTATAGTCTGGTGTGTCTGTCTGCCAAGACTATCCGATAAGCATTGATTTTGACATCAAAGAGGGCAAATTTTAAAGTAGCTACCACTGTAAATGGATTATTTCTCATTCCCCACAGAACACAATCTGTTGTATCCAAGGAAGCTTATTGTTTTGTAACTGATAAAACGTACACATAGAGCTAATCGTATACCCCGGGGCTTTGATATAATTACATGTACCATACTGATAGAAATGTAAGTTGCAACAGATGTATTTTGAGTAAATATAACATTCATGAATGTCCACCAGCGTATTCTATTTATAACGTTCCTTTCAAATACTAACAGCAACATCCGTTGTTCATGATTTTTTAATGAAATTATTTGCTTTATGCTACCGTTGGACCTTAGCAACAATACACACATATACACTCATGTTTTATTTTAAAATCCTCGGACACACCAATAGCTTCCCTGGACTTCATTTCAAAACAGGTACACACAATTCATGGTAAGCACACAATCACATTTACATGAAGTTTGAAATCAAGAACACTTGTATACAATAAAGAAGCTGCTTTGGTACTTGACCAATAACGTTAGAATCCCATTTCTAAGTCACATTAGGTAGTAAAAAATTCTAGTACATTAGCATATTTAATGAATAGAGAAGCAGAAGTAAATATACAAATAATAAAGCTAATCAAGCTGAGACAAACGGTCAAACCTTGTACATAGTAAAAAACATAAATCAATGCAAAGCGGAAACCTAAGCCTTATTTTAGATATCATTACAAAATCAATGGACTGAGCATAGATTAGCAAATAAGGATAAGTAACAATTTTATCTCAACACTTGTAAACACAACGTATTACCACACCAAAGATAAAATATCATTAAGTATATATAACATCCATCTATTAATTTCACATTGGTAATTTCACATACTGTACGTAGTTTCCTGAAGTGATCAACCTGAATGTAGGAGGCGTACACTTCACCACTCTGCTGTCCACACTGCGGTCCCAGAAGGACTCCATGCTTGCCGGCATGTTCTCTGGTCGGCACAAGATCCAGAGGGACGAGGATGGGCGCTATTTTATTGGTAGGTTCCAATCCCACCGCTGCCACCAGTGTTATGGTTAATCTCCAAGCAGATGTTTGCGTGATGGATCGTGATGTGATCAGACATGTAATGTGATTCACCTGAACGACTGTAAGATCGGTTTGAAATTTCTGTTTATTTGTTTGTTCGTTTGCCTTAGATCGGGACGGGGCGTTGTTTACATACATTTTGGCCTGGTTGCGGACGGAACAGATGCCACCTCGTGCTGCCGCCAGGCGGCTCTACAGCGAAGCGCAGCACTACGGGCTTCTCACTCTGATGGCAACTCTACAGGTAGACTCTGATGATGTCATATTTCAATCGTAGAATTTGAAACCTCCTCTCAGACCACGTATGACGTCTTCATTCACGTCAATGACGACTTTCCACACTACTGTCATTAAATAATGTATTAGAGAAAGGCAGGAATAAAAATTATCTTCCGTAATACCTTGATAATGTACTGCATTGGATTAGAAAATCTACTCCCACCATGAGCCCCGAAGAGAGAGGATACGTCGTGTTTGGGACCTAAATGGCGTTTGGGACCGCATTCTCCCTACTGCAGCGCCACTGCAGAACTACGTTACTACTGGGTTGTGCAACTGTATTACTTATGTAATATTTCCTTCAGAACGTCCAGCCTGTGGCCAGTGATGTCGTGAAGACCCAGTTTGTATCTAAGGTGCCGAACTATAAGGAGCTGCTAGAACAGATCATCATAGTGGGCAGGGAGCGGGCCAAACTGGACATGAGGAGACAGTCGCGCGTCCTCGTCACCTTCCACTATCTAAACGATGGTCCACAAGTAAAGGTGAGAAACTAAACTAGAAAGGTAACATTTACAAAGCAAATGTATAATGTTTACCTTCGCACACGGTCTGCTCTGTTAATTTTTACTCAAACACATTCATATATATGGTTACAGGAGTCTAAATCCCTAGGCCTCCTGCTATAAAATTGCAACATGATGTGACCCAACACCAGTTACCATGTCTGGTTCTGGACCTTTTGTGTCAATGCAAAGAAATCTTGGTCCTTATTAGTGTGTACACATGTAGCAGGAACAGTCATTGGTAGATTGTGCCCTAGACATTTGAAATGAGAAATGGTATGTCATTTTTTTTCTGCCACACAGGTGCACATGATTTGCGAGCTGGCTCGACACGACGTCGGGTTTTTGGATCTCCCTCAAACCCTGGACGTCGCTACTCTACTTAGCAGTATAGAATTTGACTTGGTCAAAGAAAGGGGCTTCAATCTGACCACCACGCTTATAGATACCTGCAAGGGGATTGGCTACATATGCGGGTTCAAGTACGACTTCACATTCACGTGGTGGTGAAAAACGTCGCCATTTTGGTGAACTTCCATGTTCAACCGCTAGGCGATGGTTTAAATTATATTACCCAAGATGCCTTTCAAATAACATGCAAATACTAAAGCTTTTAAAGTACTTACGGCAGAAGTCTGTCCTCAACGAACCAAGCGGTTTTACTATTTTATTCCAAGCATTTTTAATTGTAGCTTTCTAGCTATTTCAATGACTGACCTTAAGCAAATGAAAGTCATGTTCAAAACATCTTAATGATGGCAACATCAACACTGATTAGCAAAAGTATATAATAAGTATTGATGGGGTAAGGGTCGTGAATGCTTTGTAAAAATGATACGTGGACGAGAGACTCTTGTGCTTTGCTCAGTGATTTCGGTAAAGGAAAGGGAAGAGTCAAACTCTAGCCAAGAAAAGAAGTTATTTTACCTGAATGAATATACAATGGAGATGTTTTACTTATATCAAAGTCTATTGCTGCTAATTATATATCACAGTACAGTGTGTGTCTTCCAAAGTGACTTGTTGCTTTTAGAACTTCCTTTATGGGCTAACGATTTTTATTAGACTTGTAAAACGAATACATTGCTATAAAATACACTATGATACAAATTGTGAATTATTCAGAGCAGTAGGTTTGCATAAATTTGTATTATTTCAGTACGTAGCTACTGCTGAAATATAGATAGATATGTAAACACGTATGCCAAAATCACATGCAGTTACTCGAGCAACTGGACATGATTTTAGAAACGGTCAGGACGTTTCAGGTAGCATCCACTACTAGTGGATGATACCTGAAACTTATCCAGTTGCTTGTAACTTTTTTTGGCGTTGGATGTCTAACCTTCACCGACGTATGCAAACATGTATGTAATCTACAACAGACTGTTTACTTGCCACGTGATGTTGCAAAAGTCATGACTGATATTTGCATAAACAGTTGGCACCTAGCAGGGCCACGAGCCATTCTGTTGGCGGGTGACAGTTTAAAACAAGTAAAAAAGATCTTAACCTTCAGTCACATTCATGTCATGTTTTCATCACCGATAATTGTCCTGTCGAATCTTTGTTTATTCTTCATACTCATCTGTAAACATATGTCTTGTTTACGACTAGGCGAAGAAAAACACCATTGTTCTTCCACCCAAAATATGGCAATGATTCGTACCAAAGATGTTTATTGAACGTTGGTTGTTGTCAGTTTTCGAAGAACAGGCTTGCTTCTGCATGCAAGGTGAGACTAATCTTCAGATGAGACTGATACAGAAGATGACATAGGCGTTCGGTAAGAACTTCGCATGCTACGTGTTGTCATTTTACATTCCTGTATTCTCATTCCCTGGTTCTAGAAAAGTTACCAGGATTTCGCTACAAGTCGTGTCACGTCACACTACTGCATTATTTTCTGTAAGACTGAGACTTATCTTCGGGATCAACTGTGTGAAAAGTAGTTTTGTACGTGACGTACATGTAAATATCTTCCTTCGTTACGACTATTCAACATTACAAGTGCATAGCTTACACTAGACTATTGCCTCCGTGAAGAAGGCATTGTTTCGGGTAGCTATGTGAATTTGGTGGATGTACATTGTATGGATGAATTGACGTAGTTTAGACCTAGTAAGGTAAAGGTTAGACCTAGTAGCCATGTGAAATTGCTATATAGAATATAAAGATCAACAATACACGCAGATTCGTCAGTTACTACGCATGTCCACTTGCAAAAAGACAATTAATTTGTCTGCAGTAAAAGTCTACTGACGTGCTTTTTACGACAAACCGTTCTGTTTGCAATTGTTAAAAAAAATATAAACTCTATATTTGGTCAGTTATAAAACGCTATGATCCTGTTATTAGCTTCTGGGAGATGATTATAATTTATGCCTTGCGATATTGTAGAACCCATCAAAATAAAGTGACGCTTGTTAGCGTTACTGCTGCAAATTTTTGACATTATTCTAGAAATCAATAATGCCATTTCATAACGAGACTTGGTCACCTACTTTATACTGGTTAAGTAAATGAATAACATCCGTGTTGTGTTGCATGAATCTATACCAAACCAGATTCAATTTACGTGTGCCATATACAGGTAAAACTCTGGCAATCTAAAATCTATCCAGGTCAACTGTTGTCAGAAACGATTTCAAAGAAGTATGGCACAGGCAAATCCGGAAACCGGCACTGAGGATTTCAGGTCACGTGACGACGACGTCACTTCCGGCTGGTCTGTCAGATTCCAGAAAGATGGCGACATTGAATCGTGTGGTGTTGATAACCCGATGTACGGACAAAACACTTTGGAGAAACAAATTCAGATGAAGGTGCAAAGTGACCACAAAACTAGTACATTGTATGCGCAAAATGACCAAAACACTAGTGCAGTGTACGCACAAAATGACCAGACAACTAGTACGGTGAACGTGCAAAATGACCAGAACACCAGTGTAGCGTACGCGCAAAATGAACAGACCACTAGTACAGTCACTACAGTGTATGCGCAAAATGACCAGAACACCAGTGCAGTGTACATGCAAAAGGACCAGAAGACAGGTACAGTTTACACGCAAAATGACAAGAACAAGCATTGGACGTGCAAAACGCCCAGAAGAACACCAGTACAGTGTCAGTGTACGCGCAAAATGACAAGAACGCCAGAGCAGTGTACGTGCAAAAGGGCCGGAACACCAGTACAGTAACTATAAACGAGCATAATGACCACAACACCGGTGCAGTATACGGGCAAAATGACCAGAACACTAACGCTAACTCAGCTGAAATGAATGACATCCTTCGCTCCACACACGCGTTTCATCCGAATCAGATGTACGAGCAAGACACTTTGAACCCCAACCCGATGTACATGGCCGGCGATCCGGATTCTGATCATCCGATACACGAAGGAACCGGCCGCCCAGTCGTTACAGCCTCCTTCAGGTCGGATAACAGAGATAAAGATCCCGTCATTCAACCATATGCTATAAGATATGACGATGATGATGACGATGGCTATAGCAACAACGACTTGACAGGATGTGACGTATCCGGAAACGCAACCTCTGTTGGGGATGACAGCGTCCCACATGCAATCTGCAATACTCCGAATCCAATTTATCATAATCCGAATCCAGCCAATATTCCCCTATATGCAGTTTGGGGTAAGATCTATAATATGTTTACATTTGAACTAGTTCTAATACAAAGCTTGCCGTAGAGGTAAGGCTTTGCATTCATTGAATCACTATATAAAGATTGTCACTATACAATAAGACATTTGCAATGTTCAGCAGAATTAAACTGATTTACAACAACAACAAAAAAAATCCTGAACAAAACCTGTCCATGTTAATTAATGAGGAATGCACAGCTACTATGACGTCACTTGTAGATAGACCTCATGACTCGGTGAGCAGTGCCTCAAAATTTACTAATTCTCTAGTACTTCGGACGCTGTCTACTGTCCGTTTCTTTGTTTCTTCATATCTTCTACGTGTGTTCGTAAAAGACGTTTTTCCCAGCCATGCCAGGGTGTTTTTCAGGAAGAAGACATCTAGTGCAGGTTGCTGTTACAGGAGCCGTCATCCTGCTATTAGGCATCGTCGGTGCCTTAGCCGGGATAGTCTACACCATTCAGGACACCCAACAGGTCAGTGTCTGTACAAGTCCCCCACACACGTAAAAAATAAGCCGAAGCACAGCCTCCTTGAGAGTACATGATTTTCCGCAAATGACATACATGAGCAACGGACCAAAGATCGTTAGAAGCCGGTATCGGCCCTCTTCCTGGTTCAATGAAAATGTTCCATGATATGATTTTCATTTCGCCCACAGATGACATCAGCTGTGGACACTACCTACACCACAACAACTGATGAAGATCTCTTGTCCACAGTAAGTTAATTACGAGAACAATCATAATTGTTTTCAGATACATAAAAGTCTATTTTTATCAAAATTAACGGGAAATTGATATTCTTCAGGTCCAGTTTGCAAATGACACCTTCTGGACAACATACCCTACACTGCCGTCAACGTACAGCAGCACACAATGTATGTAATTACAGGTTTATCTTACGTAGGTGAGAGCTAGCACTTGGTTAATTATAATATTACAGTAGCTAATCATCATATTTAAATGAATTATTGGGCAAGTCAAGCCTGGGCCACCTTAGCTTGGCTGAGTGATGGCTATCGTTGATACTGCAGCAAAATAGAGTTTTGTACATGTATCTCATTGTCACCACAGAAAGCCACGACGGAGGCGTGATATCGGAGAATATCATCATCATTGGCGAGGAAGGATCAAAGTATCCATACAAATATCGGAACGATCGCGGTGTGGTGGTATCGGAAGACAATGGGATATTTGTGTCAGATCTTGACACAAGACGAATCGACGTCTACAGCATGAACGGCACCTATCTCCGCCACTTCCCTACCGAGTTGCCCGATGGCAATGGGCAAAAGATGCTGCCTTATGACGTTGCCATGGACGGACAGGGTCACCTGTGGGTACCTGTATTAAAAAGGTACCGAGATAGTGATGCTTATGTAGTTCAGTACAGTCAAGATGGCCAGCCATTGAGCAAGTTCGCGTTTCAATCATCCAGAGGATTCCCTCACATTGACTTTGACGTTCGCACTAATAAAATCATCTTGGTCAACGGTTCTCAAATCGTGATGTTCCATCCTAATGGTACACTGTACCAGACGTTCGGAAATAAAACAGGCCTAAACATGAATCTGCAGTACGCTGCTTCAGACAAAGATGGAAACATTTTTGTGACTGAACAAGGCTATTCTATTGTCCAGGGATACAATCCCTTGGGACATCGGCTATTCAAATTCGGGGGCTATGGTAGCGGTGAAGGTAAACTCAATTTTCCGCGAGGTATTCGCGTGGACACTGCCGGTCACGTCATCGTAGCTAACGAGGAAAACGGACGGGTGGATGTGTTCACAAGCCGCGGGGAATTTCTCCTCACTGCCGCTAAAATCACAAAGCCGTGGAATCTTGCCGTGGGATCGGATGGTCAGTTAGTAGTGACCAAGACTGTCGACAATACTATAACTATCTTTCCAGGCTGGCGTTTCCATAATGTTTCAAAGATTTGATATTGCTCTTGTGGCATATCATCAAGTAGATGTTACCTTCGCTAAGATTTTGTTTTGTTAAAAATCAAATATTGTGAATGGTTGCTTATGATAGTGTGATGTGAGTAGGTGTCCGCCCTTGACTATGTTCGGTTATTGGCCGTAGAAAGAAGTTTGTTTTCAAATAAGAATATAAGGATATTGCCAAGGAAACGGAAACACAGACAACTTTAGCAAGGGAAACTTATCTTACCTGCATTATAAACTGAATACGATTTGCTGGATGTTGAATGTTTCTTAGTTGTTGTGCTCATTGTTTACCTATGTGGATTTGTATAAAACAATATGTGATTAGAAAAGTTGTATTCGGAATACCATAAGAGTTTTAACTGTTAGTAAGCAAAAATGTTGTATATTGTAATTTGACACATAAAGAGCGACGACTACCCTTCAGTTGAAAAATAAAAGCACTCAGACATTGTATGTTAGTCATGTGTTAATTACGTATACGCCAACTTTACACACCACATACGCACATACCTGACAATTCTTTTAAAACATTTTACGGCAACTCGCGCATACAAATTATGTAGGCCCACAGTTACGTAGCAATCTGCATACCTCACCTACATATACAGGCCCCTTATCAAACTGTGAACCTCAGGGGATCGGTAACCTATTCTAGCGTGATGGTTGAGAACTGCAATGCAGATTCTGCACTGTATAAAGAGCACAACCACCTATTAAACATAGGCCATGGCACAAAAGGTGCATTTCAGCTTCTTGATAATCTGAAACGAAATCATACATAGAACATCCTGAGACAGTCGTCTTTACCTAGCCTGGGTACCATCCTACTTGTATGCCGGGGCTCCCACACTCGCTTCCCTATGATGCCGCACATCCAATCAAAACCACACATCTTGAAGGCTCTTTAACTGAAAATCAAAATATGTGGAAGGAAATTAAATGGTGATGAATAGTGGTACCATTATGATCTACAAAAGGAAGGGCTCACTTTCTTTTGAAGCAGTACCATGTAACGATATTACAGCTTTGATTAGATTATAGTTGATTACGTCATTCTTTTCGATGATGAAGAATGATTTTACAGAGCAAAATCCTCATAGACGTGTTACGCAGTAACAGTTCCACGAACATGCAAAGATGTACGTGGAAGTGTTCTTTAAAACGTGATCTTCTACAGACACTTGATTTTTTACGTAACGTCGCAAAAGTCGTGACTGATATTTGCAGAGACAGCTGGCACCTCCCAGGGCAGTCGAGATATTCTTTAGGGGGGGGGGTAACAGTTTAGAACAACTAGACAAATTCCTAACTTTCAGTCACATTCATGTCATGTTTTCAACGCCGGTAATTGTTCTGTTAAATCTTTGTTTTCCATTCATATTCATCTGTAAACATATCTCTTGTTTCCGACTAGGCGAAAAAAACACCATTGTTCTTTTACCCAAAAGATTGCAATGATTTCTACCTATGTTTATTGAACGTTGCCTGTCGTAGTTTTTCGAAGAACAGACTTGTTTGTGCAGAAGAGCTTGAGACCGAAGACGATATAGACGCTCGAATACAAACCCTTGCTGTAGAAGCCCTGCGGTAAGCGCGATATGTTTTATTTTCTACCGCTTTTTTAGTCTGTGTAGCGCAACGGTTACAGCGTTGGACTGGGAACCAATAGGTCCCGGGTTCGTTGATTTTTTTAGTCTGTATGCTCCTTTCTACATTTCTGCATTTGCTTTTCCTTGTGGTTGAAACTTACCAGGATTTACAAAAAGGCTTGTCACGTCACACTACTGCAAAGTACCCTGTAAGACTGAGACTAATCTTCGGGAACAACTGTTTGGAAAGTAGTTCTGTACGTGAGGAAAATATTTTCATTCGTCATGACAATTCAACACCCAAGTGCGTTTCTTAAACTAGGCCATTACCCATGTGAACTAGGCGTTGTTTTGGGTGGCTACTTATGTGTATGTATGTGGCCGGCCATGGCCCAAGTTTAGATCCAGTAGCCTGATGCCCAACGACCCTCAACGAGGTAAAGGGATAGGTGAGGTGAGGTGAGGTGAGCCATGTATCATTGTCACGTGACATGTTGACACGAATAAGGACAACCTCAGACACTCAGACACAGTACATGTTGGCTTGTCAGTTACTACGCATGTCCAATGGAAAAAACAATTAATTTGTCTGCAGTCTAAGTCTACTGATATACATACATACATACATACTTTTTGATGACAAACCATGGGAAAGGGCCCTGTTGGTTTCAAAAGATGTAAGACTAGATCTTTATGAAAGCTTTAACAAGATTGCATGCTATACATTTTGCCAGAATTATTGTATAATATTTGCAAGATGTTGCAAGAATCTATACCTAAGAATTCAATTTACCTGTGCCAAATACAGGTAAGCGGGCGAAATCTGTCCACGTCAATTGTCATCAGAAGCGATTTCGAGAAAGTATGGCACAGGCAAATCCGGAGACAGGCACTGGAGAGGAGATCGAGTCACGTGACGATGACATCACTTCCGGCTTTTCTGTCAGATCCAGAAAAGATGGCGACATGGAATCGTGTGCTGTTGACAATCTGATATACGGACAGAACACTCTGGTAAAACAAATTAAGATGAAGGCGCAAAATGATCATGACCAGAACACTAGTGCAGTGTACGCGCAAAATGACAAGAACGCTAGTGCAGTGTTCATGCAAAAGGGCCAGAACACCAGCTGCAGTATAGTAAACAAGAAAAATGACCACAACACCGGTGCAGTATACGGGCAAAATGACCAGAACACTAACGCTAACTCAGCTGAAACGAATGACATCCTTCGCTCCACACACGCGTTTCATCCGAATCAGATGTACGAGCAAGACACTTTGAACCCCAACCCGATGTACATGGCCGGCGATCCGGATTCTGATCATCCGGTACACGAAGCAACCGGCCGCCCTGCCGTTAGAGCCTCCTTCAGGTCGGATAACAGAGATAAAGATCCCGTCATTCAACCATATGCTGCAATATATCCGGGTTATGACAGTGACTACAACAAGGACAGCCTGGCAGGATGTGACATATCTGGAAATGACGCAGGCACTGCAACCTCTGTTGGGGATGACTGTGCCCGGCATACGGTCCGACATGCCCCGAATCCAATCTATCATAATCCGAATCCAGACGAGATTCCCTTAGACGCAAGTTGCGGTAAGATTTGTAATATGTTTACATGTTTAACGTTACAGTTGTATAAATGCAATGCTTGCCTTAGAGTCATCGAGGTGAGTGGTTTACTATGTAACCGGTGGTTATTATATAATATGGCTGTTATAATTCTATCATCTAAAATGTGAAGCAGAATTAAACTGTAATTTCAACGGAAACACTTTCTACTTGACAGAACTAGTACTAAGCAATCCACCGCTTCCATAACGTCACTTGATGTAGATAGAACACGTAACTCGATGAGCAGTACCTCAAAACTGGCAGAAAGTTTGTGGCGTCCTCCGTCTCCACAAATGTACTTTGGACGCTGGTGTGTTGTCGGCTGTTTTGTTTCTTCATATCTTCTGCTTATCTTAGTAAAAGAATTTTTTCCCAGCAATTTACATTTTCTTTCTGAGCTAGAGTGTTTTTCAGGAAGTAGACATCGTCTGGTGCAGGTTGCTGTAGCAGGAGCCGTCCTCCTTCTATTGGGCATCGGCAGTTCCTTAGCTGGGGTGTTCTTCATCATGCAGGGTACCCAAAAGGTCCGGAACTGTATGGGGCATTCTCAAAATATGCTTTAATATTTCATGGATTCAATGTTTATGATCTTCTGTTCTGTGTGCTGTTGGAGGCCGATGTTGGCCACATCCCGATTCAATGTCAAGAAAATTTTCCATGATGAGATATTTATTTCGTCCACAGATGACATCAACTCTGAACACTACCCTCACCTCTGGTCACCCTGCCTGCTGCAGTCCTGAAGAGACAACTCATGAAGTCTTGTACATGTTCTCCACAGTGAGTTAATCACGATTCTTATTCTAGTTCTATAATACTGAGCAAAGCCCTATCTAGGGCATCCCGCCCGGGGGACGGTAATGGTTTGTCAAATTAAGCCAAATATTATTAAAACGCAATTGCTTATTTGTATCATTCACGATGGAAGATTCATATTCTTCAGGTCCAGTTTTCCAATGACATCTTCTGGGCAAGAGACCCTACACTGCCAGTAACGTACAACAGCACACAAGGTATGTAGTTATAAGTTTATCTAATGACCTAGTAGGTACAAAGGGGTGATAGCTATCCTCTTGCGGCTTTCGTTGATACTGCATGCAGCGAAACTGTAAGGCTTTACTCTGTCACTGCAGAAAGCCACGACGGAGATGTGATGTCGGAGAATATCATCATAATTGGTGAGGAAGGATCAAAGCATGGACACAAACATCGGAACGATCGCGGGGTGGTGGTATCGGAAGACAATGAGATATTTGTGTCAGATCTTGACAAAAAACGAATCGACGTGTACAGCATGAACGGCACCCATCTCCGCCACTTCCTCACCGAGTTACCCGGTGGCAATGGGCAAAAGATGCTGCCTTATGACGTTGCCATGGACGGACAGGGTCACCTGTGGGTACCTGTATTAAAAAGGTACCGAGATAGTGATGGTTATGTAGTTCAGTACAGTCAAGATGGCCAGCCATTGAGCAAGTTCGCGTTTCAATCATTCAGCAGCGGATACCCTCACATTGACTTTGACGTTCGCACTAATAACATCATCTTGGTCAATGATAGTCAAATTGTGATGTTTCATCCTAACGGTACGATGTGCCGGACCTTCGGAAACGAAGGGGGGCAAAAAATGAGATTGCAGTACGCTGCTTCAGACAAAGATGGAAACATTTTTGTGACTGAATTACTCGATTCCGTTGTCCAGGTATACCATCCCTCGGGACATCGGCTTTTCGGAGGCTATGGTAGCGGTGAAGGTAAACTAGATTTTCCGCGAGGTATTCGCGTAGACACTGCCGGTCACGTCTTCGTAGCCAACGAGGGAAGTGGACGGGTGGACGTGTTCACAAGCCGCGGAGAATTTCTCCTCACTGCCGCTGAAATCACAAAGCCGTGGAATCTTGCCGTGGGACCAACTGGGCAATTAGTAGTGACCAAGGCTGTCGACAATACTATAACTATCTTTCCAGGCTATTTCAATGGTTCAAAGATTTGAGAATGCTTTAGTGGCATATCATCATCAGTAGACGCAATGACTATGATTTGATAATGATATTGCCTTCGCCAATATCATTAAGGTTTTGCTTTTTATTCCTTTTGTACTTACACAAATAATGTACTCCCCATGCACAGTTACGTAGCCAGTCCGCAAATCGCACCTACATGTACAGGACTCATCCAACTGTGAACCTTAGGGGATCGGCAATCTATCTTAGCGTTTTGGTTAAGAACTGCATTACAGATTTTGCACTGTATACAAGAGCACAACCATTTATTAAACATAGACCATGTAGACCATGTCACAACAGGTGCATTTCAGTTTCATGATCATCTGAAAAGCAAGCAATTCAACCATACATAGAACACGCTGAGACCCTTGTCTTCACGCAAAAAAGGCCCAGAGGAAAACTCCCACACACATCATGATGACGGCATTGATGTTGAGGATGAGACGAGAACGAGGCTTCTCGTCAATTGAGATGCTGATATCCGGTTCCGGTGAAGCTGATTGGTTCTTCTGGCTGATGCCGCACAGCCAATCAAAACCACGCCTCCACGGGGAAGGCTCTTCAACTGAAAATGTATTAATGTGGACGGAAGGATATAAGTTACATGTACGTTATATCTACTGTAACTTGTAACTTTTATATCGTTTTAGTGCTTAGCCATCTACAAAAGGAAGGTTTCTTTTTTCTTCTGAAGAATTATCATATGCAATCTATATACATATATGATTCAATTATGCAATTTATGTTGAAGAATGCTTTTGCAGAGCATAATTCTCATAAGGCTCTCACAGACAGCTTTGACTGTTATAGCATGAAGTTTACTATGTTTTGCTTCTGCTCCATTAAAGGGTATGGTATGTCCCAACATGTGTTCCAAGTTTTTCCTGTCTGTCGACTTACCGACTTTGACTTTGAGGTCGTTCACCTCTGTGTGAGCTGTTTCTCCCTCTCCGTCCAGATCTATCATTTCGACAGTCTCCGGCGGTTGGTCCAGATCGTGTCTCTCTTCAAAGTCGTGGCGAGTCGACCAGGTCAAACGGACAAGCTGTCGATAGTAAACCGCCATTGAACCATAAAACAATAACTTCTTTAAACATATTAAAGTCCTTAAGTACTTCCATGTTCCATGTTCCTTTTTCATTCTTCTTTTATATATGTAAATTGCCTGATTAATTACCCTCATACCTCTTCAGTATGATGATAGATCAAGGAGGACATATGTACATCTGGGCACGCCAACCTTAACTCAACTGAGACGGCGGGCGGTATAGACTTCCTGACACAAATCGCTGACGTCAAGTGTCCGTTAATTCATGTGACCATTGGTGATCTTTTAAATTTGAGGAAGACTGCAGCAGGAAGTCGATAGCCTGGGTGCCAGTCCCTACCGCGAGAAGCAATGTGCCCCGCTAACCCCGAGTTGGCACCCTGCATGGCTGTAATGATCTCCCCGCTACCGTGAGAGGGCGGATACACTTGTAGCTCTTGTAGCTCTATCGCTTATCAAACACCAGCGTCTGGCCCAGTCTGTAAATTGTGCATTACTGACATAGATGGCATGTAGTTCACGTGCTCACACTGTACTTACGTGTTTATCGTCGATGGGCGGTGTACAGAGACTGACCACGACCATGACGATGGCACTGACGGCGAACAGGATCATGGCGAAGTACAGGAAGTGGACCCTCCACAGCACGGCCGGCCGGAACTCAGGCTCGCCGCACCCTGGCGACCCGTAGGCGAAGTCCATCACCAACCGGATCAAACCGACCACCAGGCCTGACATCAAGCCCCAGAACGCACCCTGAAAAAGAAAGGAAACGACACCATCTCCCTCAGTTGCCAATTTTCCTCATAAAAATTAAAGGTCAAACATGTCAAAACATCATCGTTCTGTTTTTATAACGGCAGCTGCAGTAATGTATGAATATGTAACCAATGTAATCAAGTGATTCTACAAATAGATCCACCCCTGAGGTGTCACCAAAAATCTGACCTACCGGCTCCGTCATCCTCTTCCAGAAGATGCCCAGGATGAAGCTTGCGCAGATGGGCGGGGACAGGTAGCCGGTGACCGCCTGGATGTAGTTGAAGAGTTGCCCTCCCTGTGCGGCCTGGACAATCGGGATCCAGACGATACTCACCACGATCAGCAGTACCACAAATAACCTGCAAAACATGGACATTAATTTGACAGATACAGAGAAGCCACAAAAGCGACCCCACAGTTGCCCGCACACCCTTGGGGTGAGGTGGAAATCCTACCTGCCGACGATCATGAGTTCTCTCTCCGTAGATTGCGTGCGGAACTTCCTCCAGATGTCCATGGTGAAGATGGTTGAGGAGGAGTTGAAGATGGAGGTGAGAGAACTCATCAGGGCCGCCAACATCACCGCTAACATCA